TCCCTGCATCCCCATATCCCCTCTGCCCCCCTCATCCCCTTCCCTGGCCATCTCCTTCCCCCCCCTCCAGTCTCCAGCAGGATCGTCCCATCCCAACCCACACCCCAATCCCTCCATGGGGCTGGATCCAACCGGGCGTTGCTGGGCCCTGACTCAGGAGAAGCTCCCGCCGGCACAGCCGGAATTTCTGCCTGATCCACACCTAATTATTTCCTCCCCAACCGAGCAGTGGCAGGGCCGGATCCTGATCCCCTCTCCGTATAAATCCAGTGGTGAGCTGGTGCCAGGGACCGATGTGGCTGGAGGCAGACGGGGATGGAGCCGGAGGCGTTGTCTGGGGTAGGACGGGGATGGGGATGGGGCAGGATGAGTCCCGAGGGTGGGGGGGGGTGGCCATAGGGTGGCTTGGGGGGGATGCTGGGGGGTGGAGAGGGTGTGGGGGCCCAGCCAGTGATCCTAGCCCAGCCACCAGTGTCCCCAGTATAGGCTGAGCTAAGATCACCAGTATCCCCAGTATAGGCTGGGCTATAGTGACCAGTGTCCCCTGTATAGGCTGTCCCTCTATCCCCAGTACAGCCTTGGTTATGGTCACTGGTTTCCCCAGTATGGGCTGTCCCAGTGTCTTCAGTATAGGCTGTCCCATGGTCACCAGTATCCCCAGTAAAGCCTGTCCCATGGTCACCAGTGTCCCCAGTCCTGGCTGACCCTGTGCCCCTTGTACAGACTCTTCCAGAGTCCCCAGTTCAGGCTGGCCTAGTACTCCCAGTCCAGGCTTCCCCATGACCACCAGTGCTCCCAGTCCAGCCTGCCCCATGGGCCCCAGTGCTCCCAGTCCAGCCTGCCCCCAGTCCAGCCTGCCCCATGGGCCCCAGTGCTCCCAGTCCAGGCTGGCTGCTGCTCCCCAGTGTCCCCAGCACCAGCTGCAGCCTGGCCCCCAGCATCCAGCAGGACAGTGTGCCCTGGTTAGTCCCCATCATCCCACTCCAGTCTGTCCCAGTCTGTCCTCACACCCCTCCCAGACCGCCCCCCCCGTCACCCAGGTCCCCCTGCATTGTCCCCACAGAGGCACCCGGCGAGGGGACGTGGGCTCCCTGAGGCCCTTGGAGACAAGGATGGGGTCATCCCCAAAACCACCCCAAGACCATGAGGTGGCTCTGATCCCACGTCCCTGTGTCTCCACGTGCCCAGGGTGTGCAGCAGCGGGTGCCACTTGTCCCTCCATCCGGCAGGGTGCCTGCTCGCTGGCGTGTGGGGGGGGCCCGGCAGGACCCCCAGGGTGCCACGAGGAGCAGCTGGCCTGCCTGGGGCCCGGGGGACACACCTGCACCTGCCGCGACGGCGCCTTCGTGGAGGTGGAGCCCAGAGAGCACCAAGGTATGGGGGTATGGGAGGCACCTGTGGGGATGGGGACAGCTGGGGGGGACCAGGCCCTCCTGTCC